TATTCATATCCTACTATTACACCCCCCCACCCTCTCCCCATCACAGTATTTCAGACGTCTCCAAGACGTGATAAGGCACTGTATCAAATGCAAGCACCAAGGTAGCTGCTTTCTAAATGAGTCCCAGTGGTGTCCTGGCTGAGATAATGTCAGATAGACTCTTCACCTCCACATACTAGTCCATAGCAATCAGTACCAAGGCTATTATTTAGCAAATGTGTGGTACTCAAGGGCCATGTGTTACGGAAATGCACAGTGAATATGTAACCAGCGCCTTTGGACGTCCTCCTGATGTGAAAAGCATATGTAAGCACAATTTGTCGGTGTTTTGACCGTCCTGCCCCAAATAAGGAGCGAAGGAAGAATGAAGCCAGAGAGAAATGAGAGCCTGCTTCAAACATTCTTGCAGAGCTCCTTCAGCAATGTTGCTCCTCTGATATTTTTGGAAGGATGACAAAAAAAATACCAAGAATGAACTCAACAAGCTGCCTTTTTTTAGCCTTTACTCAATTGCCTAATCCAAATGAACACCGAGTTATACAATGGAGACATGCTTGCTTTATAGGCTCCAAACTGATGCAAATCCTTCCTCTTTTTTAATGAAATAAGGTCTATCTTTGGGAGCCATAAAATGCCCTATTGTAGCGAGGATATTTCATGTGGTTTCTCTGTTCGCAAGCAATCCATAAACAATATGTCAGGCAGCGCTGCAGTCGACGGCTGTTATACTACTACAGAAAGTATTCATGTCAGGAATCCAACTGATACAATATTTATCTGATGGGATGTACACTGCATGAACACCATACAAATCACTTGTCAGCTTGCGCTGGGATGTCAGTGTTGGTCGCTGGTTAAATCTGCTGCTTTCCCCTGTGAATCAAATGAGATTTTCACCTGAGTTTTGAAATGGAACTCGATGGAAATCTGTGGACACAGGACAGATGGTAGCACTCTCTGCCCCGAGTCATAATATCGTGGGGTCCCAGCCCAAGTCAGGCCGTTGAACTCACGGGCTCGGCTGACCCTCCAATGCGGTGCACTGCAATGTCAGACTGTTCAGGCGGATGTTAAAGATCCCGTGGTGCTTTTCGAAAAGAGAAGGGCCTTTCTCTCCCCGCGGTGTCCTGGCCAATAATCCCCCCCCCACGCCCCACGCCCCAGGTAAACTTGGTCACTCGCGTGTGGGACACTACCGTGTGCAAATTGACTGCCTGGTTTTCCTTCAAATACACAGTCACTACACTTCACAGTGAAATCACGCGAGGCATCTCGGCGACATGATAAGGAAATTGTATTAACGCAGGGATTATTATTATTTAAATTTGAGCAGATGTGTGCTCCTCAAGTGCCACGTGATACGGAAACGAACGTTGAATAAGTAACCAGTAGATGGCAGCCTAATTTGCCGACGTAAACAAATAGGATTGAGTGGACTGATCACACCTCTAATTGGGAATCCTTGATAGCCACCTGGTTTGTGATAGCCGTATAACAGTTAGTGGCAATTCACCAAAAGCACAGGAAAGAAACAATGCAATATACATTTCCATTTGTATGACGTCTTTCACTTTGGGAGGAAACAGACGATAATTAAACAGCCTTTTTTGGGAGAATCGCAATTATTACAATTTCACGACCAGAAGTTGCAATTAACGCATCTAATCTCATTTTGCGAATTTCGCACATTAAACGCACAGTGTGCCTCATTTTGTGAGTGCTGTGTGCTGTGTTATTAGATCATAATAATACTTCCACTTGATATAGCGCCTTATCACGTCGTCATGACGTCTCAAAGTGCATCGCACGATTCACTGTAAAGTGAAGTGACTGTGTATTTTGTGGACGAAAGGCGGCAGCCAGTTTCCTCACAGCTACATCCCCACAAACAGCCGTGAAGTGAGTGACTAACTTTATTGGGGGATTGTTGGCCAGGGCACTGGAGATTATACATTTTCCTCTAGGAATCATTTCTTTATCAGATTTGCCTTCTCTTGACCCACAGCGTTCTCTCTTGTTTTCTATCTACTTGCCTTTCACCAATGTCTCTTCCCATTGTGTAGCTCCTCAATGGGACTTTAATCTACTGATGGTTTGCTGTCACCTACTGAACAATTGGTGGTACTTCAAGAACCACCAAAAAATTAAAAGGTTTCCTTTGCAGAAACACATTTTTCAAAAGTCTTCCGACCGAAAACAACTTGCGCTTGTGTGGTGCCTCTCATTCTGCCTTTTTGGTTCACAGCACTGGACAGAGATGATAAGTGTCAGCGAGCAGGGAAGAGAGGAAGGAGAATATGGAGACCATTTAGAACCAAATGAAATTTACAGCACAGACGAAGGTCAGCCATCCAGTCCATCGTGTCTGTGCTGGCTCTTTTGAAGAGCCAAGATACCCAGTGTTAGAGGGATGAGCTGTGAGGAACGATTAGATAAGCAGAGGCTCTACAACCTCAAAAAGAGATGTCTCAGAGGGAGCCTCTAGAGGGGTTTCTAAGATCCTGAACGGCATTGGAAAAATAAGGCCAGAACAAGAGCCTGAGCAGACACGAGTGACCTTCTTCTGTGCCATAAATTTCCATGGTTCTATGGTTCTAATACCTTCAGCAAGTGTTTCCGTACGCAGTTGGGAATCGATAGCTAGGGCGAGACCGCTGGGCAAGCTGGTGGAGGATGCTGCACTTACCAAGGTCATTGCTTGACAGATCTCATCCTTCCAGGATATCCACTCTCCCGTCTTTCCATTACGGCACCAATGCGTCACGTCGTCCTGAGCTTCAATCCCATCCCAGTCGTTAATTATGAGAAAAGCTCCTGATCTATTCTAGGCCACTGGTGGCCAACTTGTGGCCCACGGGCCAGAAGTGGCCCCCAGGACCATCAGAAGCAGCCCCCCCCCACCCCCCCGTCCGTCCCGAACATTCGCATGAGTCTAGTTCGATCAGTTGTGCGTTTTCAGCTTCTTCTTAAGACCGAATAAAACTGCTTAAAAATAAATTTGAAACAACTATTTTGTGGGCCGACTGTAAAGTTTGGCCACCGCTAACCGTTGCTGACGCTTTGATGCAGCGCCATGGGCGGGGGTGGAGGTACTGCATTGTTGGAGGTGCCATCCTTCAGATGAGACCCCGGTATCTGCCCATTCAGGTGCCCCAACACCGGGCGAAAAGAGAAAGGAAGTTTCTCCCGGTGCTCTGGCTGAGACGGTTCTCCAGGGTGAAATGGAGTTCAGCAGGAACTTCTTGTTGTTGAGGCCAAAATGAGGCAGTACAAATATAAAACAGCCATCCAGCGGATCTGTAATGAATCTCAGACCACAAAACCGGCGTATTAATTCCTTTATTCTCTTCTCACAGTACATCAACCCTCACCCCAGTTCACTTCCCAGAATCATTTTATACTTCCCGCATCTATTTCATTGGCTCTTTCTTCATTGCCATATAACTTCTTGCAGAGTGCCCACCCTACCCTCTTCGCAAGATGTTGTAAAGTGGAGTGACTGTTTGCTTTGTGGGTGAAAATGGCAGTCATTTTTGTGCCCGGCGATGTCCCACAAACAGCTGTGGGATGTATGACCAATTTTTTATTTGGGGGGGGGTTTGTTGGCCAGGACACCGGGAGAGAGAAACTCTCTTCTCTTCAAACACCGTAAGAGCCATAAGATGAATCGTCAGCGTCCACCTGACCGGGCAAGTGTGGCCTCTGGGTTTATTATTTATGATAAATGATGTATTATTTATAATAAATGTTATATTTTCATGTGGCGGTATTAAACAAACATAGTGCCGAAAATCACTGGTGCAACAGCTACTTTTTCTAAGACTATTCGGAAATAGCTTGACAAAATCCCTGGTGAACAAAATAGCAAACTCCTGCAAAACCAGGCTATTTTAGGAAGTTGAAAGATACGAAGAAAAGTAACAGCTGTTTACATGTAACACGGCAGTGTTATTGGTCTGGCTGACCCATCACTGAAAACCACTCAGAAACTACCTCTAAAGAGTGATTTAACCACAATAACATAATAATAATAATAATAATTCAATGGTAACAACCCATTAAAAAATTATTATTATGATTCACCTGTGAGGAACCAAATCAAACTGACAGGATGTTTTCTAAGCAGGAAGTTAGAGGTGGAAGTTGATACAATACACTGATATAATGCTTTCAAACCACTAGCAAACAACACTAGGCACCAATCATTTGATAAGAGCTTTGACATAACCCCAGTTCATCTTCGTAGGGTGTTTTATTTTTAATCAGAAATTACGAGCGGTCTCCTGGCAAGACCATTGGAGAGAAATTCCAACTGGGTCTAAGTAAAACTGTGGATTATATAATGTGTACAAGGAGGGGAGGGGTTACTCAAGTATATTTGATCATTTCTACACAATTCTTGCATCCATGAACTCATTCCTATTACATAGCAAATCAAATGCAAGGATTATTATAGCGTCCGCCTCACATGAGCAGAAGTGGTTTCATAGTGCCACCCAGTGGTGGCTCTTACTTGAGCCATTATAACCAGCGATCGTGTCTGTTGCCGTTTGACGAGATTAAATTCTGATCGACTAAAATCGCTGCGGTGCCTCAAGTCACTTCGCCAAATACACTGTGAAGTGCATTGACCGTATATTTTGCGGGCGAAACACGGGAGCCAATTGCCCGCGGCAGTGTCCCACAAACAGTGGCGGATCTGAGTGACCGCGTAATGATTTTTTTTTAATGTTTCGCCCCTCCTGGGCATCCGACCTGGGTCCTCTCGCTTGCGAGGCGGGGGCGCTAACCACTACGCTGCAGGAAAATAAGGTTGCGAAGCATGAAGGCCCCAAAAAATCAGGAAAATGGAGCAATTTTTGAGTCGGAAGGGAGTTGTGGGGGAGGAAAAAGTAATCCTGTCGACAACAACAACAACAACTTGCATTTATACAGCGCCCACCCCGCCCCCCCCTCCCTTCACGCCGGGCAGCATCCCAGAGCGCTGTAACGTGGCCCTGCTATGGGTCGAGAGCAGACCTGCTTCTCGTATACGCCTGGATGCAGGTTTGAAAGAAGGCTGTGGTGTTGTGCTGCGGTTTAAACAGGATGACGTAGCATTTGGGGAGGAAATAGCCACCCGTGATCGCGTACGAGCACAAGAGGATGGCGGAAGCTTCGCCCACCACAGCGAAACTGGCCGAGGTGGAGAAGAGAACCAGGAGCCAGAGGGTCCAGGCCAGGAGGCACAGGGCCATGCTCAAGCTGATGGCCTTGGCCTCATTGTAGTTCTTGGGCAGGTCTTTGCTCCAGTAAGCCAAGGAGAAGCAGAGCAGGCTGAGCAGCACGAGACCCACGTTGGACAGGAGCACGTAGAGAAGCGTGGAGTTGGCGCACTCCAGGAGCATTTTCGTCTCCGAAAAGGAGTAGTTGGGCTGCATTTTGCCAGGATCGCACAGGAGCCAGATCAGGCAGAAGACAAACTGGACGGCTGTGCTCGCGGCGATGAACACGTACTGACCCCCGTACTTGACCCAGTAGTCGTAGGCCCTGGGCAGCCTGGTGGCTAGTTTGAAGATGCAGACCAGCTGGAAGGACCTCACCAGCAGGCACGAGAGGCAGAGGGTGAAGCTGACGCCAAATACCAGCTGCCTGACTCGGCAGACGGCAGCATTGGGTTTGCCGATGGAGAGGCAGGCGCTGCCATAGACGCACGCCAGCGACGCCAGGACCAGGAGGCACAGCCGGCCCCCGGCGGCCCTCACCACAGGCGTGTCCAGGTTGGCCACGAAGAGCGCGGCGATGCCGGCTATCAGCAGGATCCCGGCCCCCGACAGCGCGCCCAAAGCGATGGAGATGTTGCTCCCCCAGCTGAGGTACAGCAGCGTTCTGTTGTGGCAAACTACGCTTCTCGTCGTAGACCACTGGCTCGGCTCGCAGGCCGTGCAAACTGTAAGGAGAAAAGACGCCTGGATTTATTATTAATGATCCTTGCATTTGGTGCAGCGCCTTATCATGTCGAGAGGACATCTCGAAGTGTTTCGCAGGCATCACCGCGAAATGCATTGACACTGTGTTTGTAAGTAAACGCGGCAGCACAATTGCGCACAGCAATGTCCCACAAACTGCCCTGGAGTGAACGACCAATTTTATTTGGGGAGGGGAGGAGGTGGGGATTGTTGGCCAGGACACCGGGAGAGAAAATCTCCCTTCTCTTTTCTGAACAGCCCTGTAGGATCTTTAACATCCGCCCGAACAGGCAGACGGGGACCTGGGTTTAACGTCTCATCTGAAGGATGGCACCTCCGACAATGCAACTCACCCTCAGCGCAAATTGGAGCATCGTCTCAGACTGTGCGAGTACAAATCTCGACGTGGGCCTTGAACCTACAACCTTCTGAGTCAGAGGTAAGAGAGCTACCACTGAATCAGGTTGACATAGTATTAGTGTTAGTGCTCGGGTTCCTCTGTTGCCTGGATTCTGTCACCGGTGCTCAGTGTAGCCTATAAGCCACTCGCAAGCCTCCTCGCTGGGCAGGTGGGGTGGTGGGGTGGAGGGGAGAGTCGGAAGAGACAAAGCAGTCACAACCACCCCCCACCCCCCACCCATCCCACTCCCCGTCTCCCCCTGCTATGATGTAAGGATCTTTTCAGAGTTTGCTTCGTACAAACCGGATTGGTTTTGGAAAGTTCCCGCGGGGCAGTCCTTGCACGTGAAGCAACACGCTTTAAATCCGACGATTTCTTTAAACTGTCCCGGTTCACACTCGTTGGAGCAGTTTGACGTCGGAATCTGCTTAGAAAGACAATGAAATGGTTTAGAGTGTAGTATGCCCCTTGGAGGAGGAGTAAGTGGGGTCTCCTTCAAGCTGAACTGGCTCTAAGGTGGCATATGTTTGGCAACGGAATACAGAGAATCTAGCCAGCTCTGAGTCTCTAGTCCGGTTCCTGAGCCAGCCAGGTCCACAGTATCCAGGGCACTGCTGATGACAGTACAGCCCAGCCCGGCTGGACTTGGAAGAGCAGATCAATCGTCCCACTCAGCTCCTGTTAACCCTGCAAGCCAAAGCTCAAACAGATAGAGTGGTCCTAGATGAGTAAGCAGTGGGATAGCTTGCCAGACAGTGATATCGATGTCAAGCTGTGCGGTTTTAGCTGGTTAAACTCCAGCAGTTACCCCAACGCACACTATAGGGTCCCCAAGCCTTGGTTCCTGCCAACCTGCGCCTAATACTTTCCGGGATGAGATGAGCAGGAGAGTAATTTACCGTGTTTCCTTCTGAGTGCCACAGAATCGCCGTCTCGTCGATGTGAAGTTCCCGTGGGCTGGACGTGTAGGTGCCGATCACTCGGAAGGAACACTTTGGTTATTCCAAGCCCAGTGAATGATGTCGTACCCCATCGGAGGGTTCCCGTTCCGGTCGAAGTAAACCGAGGTGTTGTGGAGAGAGAAGCGGACTGCGTGCAGAGCCTCCAGCAGCTGAAACCCAACGGCGACAGAGGAAACGGCAATGAGACTTATCATGTCCGACCCAGGTGCATGCAAATCGATGCTGAATGCTGTGTGATTAATCGCTGCAATGCTACCCGGCTGGTGTGTCAGCCTGGCTCAGTGGGTAGCTTTCTCACCTCTGAGTCAGAAGGTTGTGGGTTCAAACCCCACATCAGGACTTGGAATCACAGCATCTAAGCTGAGACTCTAGTGCAGCGCTGTGCCCTGGTCAACAATCCCCTCCCAAAATAAAATTGGCCACTCACCTCATGGCTGTTTGTGGGACGTTGCTGAGCGCAAACTGGCTGCCGCGTTTCACCCACAAAATACAGTCATTACACATTGCAGTGAATTATTATTATTATGATCATGGTTGAGGTTGTTCCTCCTTAGACTTACCTGCCATGGATAGACCTCGGTGGACCTGTTGCATTCTCCGGTGTTGCATTGAAGTAACTGGTGCAGAGCGTGAGCTACAGCATAGACCGCGGTGTAGACATTGAACGCCACTCGCCAGTCCAGGTAGCCCAACACCAACCTGAGGCTTTCTGAAGGGATTGAAAGGTTCCTGTGATTAATGGGTCCGCAGGTCAGGTCACCGCTGGCCTGAGAGACATTCTGCAGCTCAGAGTATCTTAAATTCTCATAAACTGCCTCCTGCACGAATTGCATGTATCCCACGTCCGTCTGACCCCGCTTGACCCCGATCCCCAGGAAGGTGCCGATTTTCCAGATGTTGGGAATATCGGAGAGAAGCCTCTGGAGGGAGACGTCCTCGCTCAAGATCCACACTTTGCCCGTGACGTTGCGGCCGACTGCCACGCGGAAGAAAAGCTCAGCGCTCACGATCTCGGAAAACACCACCACCGCGTTGGCTCTGCTGTGCATGATGTTGCCGACGATCTCCGCTATCTCCCGCTCGGAATCCAGTCCGTGCTCTGGGATCGTTCCCTGGAAAGCCACACAGATCCCGTTGGCTAAGGCGCCCGCAATGACTTTGAGCTTCCCGTTCACTCCGTACTGATTGCTGCTCCCGATGACCGAGATCCAATTCCACTGAAACCTCCTGATCAATAAGAGAATGGCATCGATCTGGGTTTCCTCACTCGGGATGGTTCGGAAAAACGACGGGAAGCTCCTCTTGTCACTCAGTAACTCGACCGTGGCTCCATAGCTGATCTGTAAAGGCAAGGAAACAACTGGTTAGGAACTTAGGTTAGTAGTGGAGCTCGCAATGGGCCAGTGCATTCAGAGTTTCTGGAGCCGCAGTGTAGAAGACAACAGATAACTCCAACCTGCACTTATGCAGCACCTTTCACGTCGGGAGGACATCCCAAAGCACTGGACAGTAAACCAGAGATGTGAGCTGGCATCAAGAGGGGTGGAGGGCAAGCAGGGGATGGTGGTTGGAAGATGTTCAGAGGCACGGTCAAAGAGGAAGGTCTTGAAGGTGAGACAAGAGAGGGGGTGGGGTGGGGTTCTAGAGGGTGGGGGTAGAAAGGCTGAAAGCCCTACCACTGATGGTGGGTTAGGCAGGGCAGGGGATGTGGAGCAGCCCAGTGCCCGTCGAGCAGAGGTAGCGGACGGGTTGAAAAAATGATGGAAAGCGAGATTAAACCTGTTACGTTGAAAGTCCAGAAAGAAAAGGCAACGTCAGGGCCGAGACCTCGAGAGTTTACAGGGCCAAAGAGCGGCATTTCTCTTGCGAGAGACAAGAGCGAGAGGTCGGGTGCCCCGGACACGGAGAAATCACCTGCGGAATGAGGTCCAGACCCAGGATGGTGGCCGTGATGATGGCGGACTGCGACTGCCACGGACCGATCACGGCGGCCACAGCGGGATGGTGGGAGCACCGCGGGGCTCTGGTGAAGGCAAAACTGGCCAGGGTGTCGATGTTGATCTGGCAGTCATCGAACACCTCGTAGCCCAGGCTGACATTCGGCAGCAACGAGGTGGAGTTGTTGATCTCAGCCATCGCAAACCTCATGGCTTGAAAATGCTGGTATCCGTCGGCCGAAAAGCTGAAAGAACGCAGGGGGGGGCAGTTTAGCGCTTGTTTCAATCGTAATCCCCGATCGAAAACCCTTGCGTTCGACACGGTACGGCTTCGGCGCATTTCGGGGTGGGAGGACGTCCTGGCAGGGCTCGTTTGTGAGTGAAGACGGCGGCCGATTTGCCCACAGCGACGTCAGCCAAGGCTGTTTAGGTGGGACGGTGCTGTGGGCAATCGGCTGCCACGCTCCATCCACAAAATACCCGGTTGATCCGCTTTACAGTGCATCCTTTGAAGCGCTTTGAGACGGCTCTCAACGACGTGATAAGGCGCTGTGTCAAATGCAAGGATTATTATTATTATTATTATTGTTATCGTCAGTTATCATTATTTGAGTTGTTTTTTTTTACCTCTCGCACTTGGGAATCTCTGGCTTGGACCAGTCGGACTGTGCCTCCATGTGGATCTGAAACAAGCCCCCAATCACGTAGTCCGCAGGCAGCCTGCCCTCGCCCCCCAAAGTGGAAGACCACCCCTCTCCCACAGCCCAACCCTGGGCAGCGAAGCTCAGCGCCATTAACACAACACACTGCATTGCCGCTCGGTCAGAACTAGCCTGTGCCAGCAAGTGAGCGAGTGAGCGAGTGAGCCAAAGTCCAGAACTGAATGGACAAACTGAATGATTCCATCATCTCTCCTCCTATGCAAACATGAAGGTGGCAGGAAAATATAACCATAAGAACAGGGTTGCCTTAAAAACACAACATTTGCATTGCGATTACTTATCTACCGGACCAGGGAGGTCGGGGGGGGGTGGGGTGGTGGTGGTGTGTGGGGTGCTCAGTCGATAGCAATCTCGCTGCCACGTTAGAAAGTTGCGTGTTCGAGTGCTTCCCCCACTCCCCACCGACCACGACCACCACCAAGTCTTCTCACCCGGCCTCACAGAGATGTTCCCGGAGCTTTGTTTTCCTCTGAAATTTAGAGAATAAATTGGGATGAATTAGAATTTTAGTGTGCTTAACACTCCCCCTCTCCTCCTCCCCCCAATAGCCCTGCATTTGACTAAGCAAAGCTGTACACCTGTGGGTTCTTAGGAACATAGGAATTGCCATGACAAAAAAAAGGCCAACGTTCATCGAGTTCACCTTCCACTATACTGGTAGTCGCGTGTACAGTCATGGAGATGTTGATAGCAATTAATTCTATTTGGATTTGTCCACAACAGAGTAGGAGGATTTGGGAACTTTAGATCCAAAGTTGCCTTGGTTCTTCCAAGCCATACTACACTTACTATATTGTCCCTCACGTCTCAAATTACTCATATGCTGTATCCCCAAATATTATTTCCTGAAAGAAATTCATCTGATTTGCATTCGAATGAATTGACACTTTCTGTATATTCTGTGAAGCGCTGTTGGGATGTCTCAACAATGTGACAAGGCGTTATATCAATGCAAGGATTATTATTATTATTATTATTATTATTATATCATGCTCATTGTTCTCCTCTGAAGCCTTACATCATGGTGACCAGAAGCTAGAAACACAGAATCTTAGAACCATACAGCACAGAAGGAGGCCATTTGGTTCATCGTGTCTATGCCCAGCTCTTTGAAAGAGCTGTCCAATTAATCCCACTCCGCTGCGCCCTCTCCATAGCCCTGCAAATTAGTCCTCCCCAAATATATATAGCCCCTCAAGCCTGTTCCGCCATTTTATGAAATCATGGCTGATCTGTACTTCAAGTCCAATTACCCGCCCTTGCCCCGTATCCCTTAATACCCTGACCTAACAAATATCTATCTAAGCTGTGGGTGATACTCCAGGGGTTGCCTGACCGGGGTGGGGGCGCGGGGTGGGGTGGGGGTGAATAGAGGGGGTGTCTGGACGTACTGAGGTCATGATGAGGACCCAACGTCCTGACCTTCCTCTCGGTTGGGCTGTCCAGCTGTGATGTGCACTGACCCGTTGGCTGCACCTCATTTCTCATCACATTAATCACGATACGTAGCTTCCTTCCTTCTTGCTGGTCTGCCAACTTTCAACACACAGCAAGGTTTCCAGCAACACCAAGGCTCGATTCCAGCCCAGAACTGCAGAAAAGTTATCCCACCAGAATGCAGCCATAACTAACTAACTAGCTAACTAACTAACTAACTAATCAACTAACTAACAACAAATTGCAGTTAGATAGCGCCCTTCACCTGTGGAGCTTCCATCTCGCTGAGAAAACTAACAATTCCCACAGAAATAGACTTCTCGTGTCCATCTAGACACCCACCCAATTTCTCAATGGCATGATCCGGAGATAACAGAGGCGAGGAACATGAGACAATACGATTTACATTTATATAGCGCTTTTCATGGTGAGAGGACGTCTGAAAGTGGTCTCTACAGAAGAGGAGCAAGTGGTTGGGGGGCCACAGGATGATAATAATACTACTAATAATAATCCTTGCATTTGATGCATTTACAGAGAGTAAACTGTTAACCGCTGTCTCTGACCTCGTAATTGTCTCAGACGTGCGAGAAGCCGACTGACTGTTCGCTTCTCTCTCTGGACATTGTTTGATGCAAGTTCTAAACCACAGAGCAGAGACAAGGGTCACAGTTCCTGTGTCAGAAACACTATATAGATGGTAGGTTTTCACACCATAGATACCTCAGCCTTTGCCCCGTACAAACTTTCTGCATATACTGCGGTTGCAATTCTTTTGGGTGGTTTGCCGAATTGAGAAGAGTATAAAGATGCATTCATTTGTTTCACAACTCTAAAGATTTCAAGGGAGAAATGTAGACAGGTATATGACAGTGAGGGGCTGAACTAGGACTTAAGACCAAGAGGAACAGGAGGTTACAGGCTTGATTCAAGAATTTTTCCATAATTTAAAACAATAATAATAATAATCCTTGTATTTGATATAGCGCCTTATTATGTAGTTGAGACTCTCAAAGCGCTTCACTGGACATACTATAAAGTGGATTGACTGTGTAGTTTGTGGGCGAAACGCGGCAGACAATTGCACGCAGCAGTGTCCCATAGGCAGTCGTGGATTGAGTGACCAAATTTTTTTGGTACACAGAGGCGAGTGGATTCAGGAAACTTGCCGAAGATTTGGCCCAACCCGAGAACTGTTTGCGAGTGCGCTAAACACTACGCTACAGGACTCCACGACATAAAATATTTTAAGGCAGAATAACAATAAAATGATATTGTCGATATACAGCCTGAACGCGTCAGTCCATAATGTCTGAAAGTGATATTAAGAAACTCAGCAGGTAGAAGGAAATTAGCAGCAATAAGGCAATATGACTAAGACGAGGTGGAATGTTGGGTCTCAGATCGTTTTGTGTGCGTGTTTTACAGAAGCCGGTCAGGAGCGAGGATTCTGGACGGTCTACAGCCTCTGCAGGTGGATCATGTTCGGGTTGCTGATCACAGTTCCCGTTCCATTCTGTCACTCGTCCTGTAGCCGAGGTAAGGGCAGCTCTGGTGGATTGTTGGCCAGGACACCATGAGAGAGAAACTTCCTGATCTTTTCAAATAGTTCTGTGGGATCTTTAAGGTCCAGTAGAGAGAGCTCTTCTGATACTTCTGATCATTGAGGTTTCCAATTCCCTGAAGTTGTCACACCCCACGCGCACAGACACACCTCAACCTCTGCATCGGGTACGTTTTCTGCATACACTGCGGTTGTGTTGAAGTGAGAAAACAGATGCGATCATTTGTAATTCGGAAATATTTTACGCACTCCCCCACACCTGCCACTCGTCCCCCCGCCCCCGCACAGGTCATTCTTAGAAACGGTTTTGATATTAAGACTGGATGGAATAGAAATCCACAATTCTACACCATCTTAAGTCTTACAGTCGTCTCACAGGTCGAGTAGGATGGTGCGGATTGAATCCGATGTAACTTTCGAGAGAAAAATGTAGACAGTATATGAAAGTGAGGGGCTTGAAGTAAGACTCAGGCAAAGAGGAACAGGAAGTTACAGGCTTTGTGCTTTTATTCACAAGCAGCTTTACTCTCTGTGTGTCCAACCACTCTGTTAGATGCAGAGACGGAAAATCACCACCGCTGTTCCTTTTCCATAGAAATCTCCAGCGCAGGAGAAGAATGCCGTTATTCATCGCACGGTGGCTGTGCCGGCTGGCAGTGCAGCTCAGGAGAAAGCAAAGTTGCTGCGGTGCCTTCCTCCTACTCACGGTCCTGCTACAAACCCAAGGTGAGACATCGATGGGTAGAAATCGCCGCCTCGCCTGAGTTTATTAACACCGCACCTCAGGAAGGATATCTTGGCTCTGGAGGTGGTGGATCACAGGTTCACCAGAATGATACCAGCGTTTGAAGGGTTCAATTATGAAGACAGGCTGTATAAATTCCCTTGCGTTTAGGAGGTTGAGGGGTCATCTGATTGAGGTTTTCAGAAAAATAACAAAGGGATTCAATAGGGCAGATACAGATCCCGTTTATTCATAACTTAGCATATCGAAGTGCGCAGAATTTGACAGTGTTCAATTCTGTTTTAACCTCGGAATCCTGTTTTCCTGTAAAAGGATTTGCACATAAAAACGGCTTCAAAGTTAAGACCACTGAACTTGCGAATTTGACAAATTCTGGAAGCTCTGAAATGGCAAAGTGTTAGCCAATTCCAGTCTCAAACACTCTGGGTCAGAACGTTGTGGGTTTAAGCCCCATGTCAGGACTTTGAGCTCATAGTCTGGGCTAACGATCTTAAAATGCTGGGGGAGTGCCTCATCGCCAGAAGCCTCTGTCCTTGGGATGAGACGTAATATTAATAACCGTCATGTTTTGATAATGCACCTTATTAGACAGGGAGCAAAGGAACATAAAATGGTCGGATTAGGTTTCAAGAGGGAAGTAGAAACGTAGAGGTTTGAAGGGGTATGAGGACAGGATGGGATAGCGAGTTTGAAAGTACAACCGACTCAATTGTAGCTATTTTCATCTGATGAAATTGTGCTCCATCTCTTGAACATTGGTGACAAATTTGTTTTATTAAATGCACCCGTTTTGAACACAGAGATATATATGTAATTGACTTCAATCTAACAAAATAAATTAAAACAATATTAATATTTATAAACATGTATTGTATTTTATTCTAAAATTCATCTAAGTTATAATAAAACATATGTAAATCTGCCGGTCGGTGGTACAAACCCAAGGTGAGAAATCGATGGGTAGAAATGCCACCCGCCCTAACCTTATTCTGTTAATGTTCTTATAATAATAATTCTTGCATTTGATACAGCGCCTAATCACGTCATTGAGACGTCTCAAAGTGCTTCACAGAATATACTGTAAACTGAATCGATTGTATGTTTTCCGGGCGAAACGCCGCAGCTAATTTCGCACAACCGTCCGTGGATTACGTAATTATTATTATTATTTTTTAAAAGGATTATTAATCCCAGGAAGCAATCCGCCAATCATCTAACAACCAGGTGCTTATTTACTGCTCGGTTAACAAAGAGACATGTGGAGTCAGGAAACTTGCCTGAGGTTTCGCCCCGCCCGGGAATCAAACCCAGGTCCTCTTGCTTGCAAGGCAGCCGAAACCCTCATGTATGTGTTTGTCACCTCCCGCCTGGATTACTCAAACGCACTGCTAACCGGTCTCCCCAGCTCCACGATTCAAAAGATTCAGCTCATTCGGAACTCTGCTCATTCACTCCCCAATCCACCACCCAACGGCTCCGCTCGACTGGCACCGAACTCCTGCTCGTCCCTCGCGCCCTCCGCCCCACCATCGGAGGTCTCGCTTTCAGCCACTACACCCCGAAACTCTAGAAGACTCTCCCTCAATCCCTCCACCTTGCCCCCCCTATTTCCTTTTTCAAGTCCTGGCTATCTTCTTCGACCGTGCTTACGGCCCCGTCCGTACACACACGCACACACACACACCCCACCCACCCCAGCTCAAAGTCAGGCTCCGCCATTGTTAAGCACCCTGAGACATTACCCTGTGTGGACGGCACTATATAAGTGCAAGTCGTTGTTGCTGTTGATGAAATGCTACGACTTAATGTAATAAAGATATCAATATGCCCGAAGTTTATACACTGATCTCTTCTGCACCTTTTCAGCAAGTGCAAGTCTTGGCTGTTTGCTGACTGTACGGTCTGCCGAACAACTGCTAAATGTTTCTGTGGGAGACCAACTACAACTGAAGTGTACAGTTCAGTTCTGCGGCAAGAAGCAGTTGCCCGAAACCTACTGGTGTAAATTTTCTACAAATTCCTGCCAGCCGCTGAATGAAACAACGCGGTTATATCCTGGTAATCCAAGACGCACAGTGTTTGTGACGTACCGAGTGTCTTCTGTTCAGCTGAGTGATGGTGGCACATTTGTTTGCCAAGCAAAACATGGAAGTGAGACCGCAGTGGGTTATTCAATCAGAGTAAACGTGAGAGGTAACAAAGGACTTTAAACAGCAGAACTGCCATGAGTTGTCACCGGTGACAAGTTTATATTGCACATAGATTTCTACGATTTCGCCAGGTGGCCATGAGGTGGAATCTGTGTACAGTGAGATGGAGCCCTGTCGCTTAGTGGTTAGAGCACTCACCTCGCAAAGCGATTTGATTTGATTCCCGGGCAAAACGTTGAGCAACTTTCCTTACTCCACACAGCTCTGTTTAGCAAGCAGTAAGTAGGAACCCAGTGGTTAGTCGTTTGGCGGATTGCTTTTCCGGGGGTGATAAACCCATCAAAAAAAAATAATAATTTGGTCATTTAATCCACGACTGTTTGTGGGACGCTGCTGTGCGCAATTGGCTGCCACGTTTCACCCACAAAATATACAGTCAATTCACTTTACAGCATATTCTGTGAAGCGCTTTGAGACGATTCGAAGGTGTGATCAAATGCAGGGATTATTATTATTATTATTATTACAGTAGCTCCTTCACACAGCTTTATGTGATAAAGCTTAGTCAGCGTTTATGGCTTTGTGAGGGGAAGACGAGCACTGGGCATAGACTTGAGTGTCACCCAATTTGCTGATGTTCTTCAGACGCTCCATTGATGTCTCAATGACGTGATCAGGCGCTATATCAAATGGAAGTTATTATATTATCATTGATGTGCAATTAAAAAGTGTGCGAATAATGCCTAAACTAACCACCGTCCTGTTTCTTTTCAGACACTCCTCTGAGTGTACAAATTTCCAAAGCACCGTTAAACCCTTCTGTGGGAGAGAGTCTGTCTCTGAACTGTACAGTCAGGTTCTATGCTAAAGAGGGATCATTGCCAGAAGCCTTTTGGTGCAAACGTGGTGGAGATGGCTGTCCCCGACTGGCTGGAACGATCCACTATCCAACCTTTTCGAAAAATAAGGAAATGTTCATTTTTGTGATCTACACAATTCTCTCTGTTGAGCTGAGTGACAACGGCACCTTCCAGTGTTGGGCAAGGCAAGGCAACGCAAAGGCAGGGAGGTCGATCACTGTGAACATACAAGGTGAGGACGGACTTTAGAGAACAGCACCATGCACTTTGTCATGAGTGAAATAAAAAGGCGATGTGTTTCCGAACCCATTCTTCCACGAATCGTCAAAACATCTATCGTTAAAAAAAGTTTCCAAATGAATGCTTGATTCAAGAATTTTTCCATAATTAAAAACAATAATAATAATAATCCTTGTATTTGATATAGCGCCTTATTATGTAGTTGAGACTCTCAAAGCGCTGCACTGGATATACTATAAAGTGGTTGACTATATTTTGTGGGCAAAACACGGCAGCCAATTGCGCACAGCAATGTCCCATCAACAGTCGTGGATTGAGTGACCAGGAGTATTATTGTCCCCTGAAAGCTATCCGCCAATTGACAAACAACCGGGTTACGACTTATTGCTCGGTACACAGAGGCGAGTGGATTCAGGAAATTTGCCTGAGATTAGGTGCTGCCCGAGAATCCGACCCGGCTCCTCTCGCTTGCACTAACCGCCAGACTACAGGACTCCACAATTTAAAATATTTTTAAGATGCCTTACATCGTGGAGTCCTGTAGCTCAGTGGGTGGAGTCCTGTAGCTCAGTGGTTAGAGCACTCGCTTTGCAAGTGAGAGACCTGAGTTCAATTCCAGGCAGAGGGCGAAACCTTGGGCAAGTTTCCTTACTCCACACAGAGCCTAATAATAATCCCTCCAAACCAAAAACAATAATAAATTGGTCATTTTCAATCTACGACTGTTTGTGGGACATTGCTGTGCGCAATTGGCTGCCGCGTTCGCCCACAAATATACAGTCAATTCACTTTACAGTGTGTTCTGTGAAGCGCTTTGGGACGTCCTCCCGACGTGAAAAGCGCTATATCAAATGCAAGGATTATTATTATTATTATTATTATTTTAAGGCAGAATAACAATAAAATGATATTGTCGATATACAGCCTCAGCGCGTCAGTCCATAATGTCTGAAAGTGATATTAGGAAACTCAGCAGGTAGAAGGAAATTAGCAGCAATAAGGGAACATGACTAAGACGAGGAGGAATGTTGGGTCTCAGAACGTTTTGTGTGCGTGTTTTACAGAAGCCGGTCAGGAGCGAGGATTCTGGACTGTCTACAGCCTCTGCAGGTGGATCATGTTCGGGCTGCTGATCACAGTTCCCGTTCCATTCTGTCACTCGTCCTGTAGCCGAGGTAAGCGCAGATTAGCCTTTTTTTTAATGCTTCAATACAATAATAGTTCTTGCATTTGATACAGTGCCTTATTTTGTCGTACTGACATCTCAAAGCACTTCACTGTATAGTGGATCGACTGCGTATTTTGGGGGCGAAACGCAGCAGCCAGCTTGCGCACAACAAATGGAGGGAACAAACTCTTGTATTTGGGGGATTGTTGCCCAGGGCACCATGAGAAAGAAACTCCCTGGTCTTTTCAAATAGTGCTGTGGGATCTTTAACGTCCACCTGAACAGGCAGATGGGACCTCGGTCTCATCCAAAGGACGGCACCTCTGACAGTGCAACCCTTCCCCCAGCATTGCACTGGAATGTCAGCTTACACTGCGTGATTCAGTATTCAACAGAGCTGGAGCAAATGCTTTGTCGGTAACAGCAGCCGTGTTCTCTATATTGTTAGGAAAACGAGATGGAAATGGACAACACTGAGACAATGTGAAGGAAATTAATGAACCTCGATACACAAAGAGCCCAGAAACATCAGCATTGACTCAAACCACCTCGTCAAGTTGCTTCTGTATTATCGCGTATCTTGGGCTTTTATAAAAGCCGCTCACGGAACTTTATCTAATGTCGTCTTTTTTAAAAAAAGCATATAGCTGACCTTCTACCTCGGAGCCGTGGTGCATTTAATTACTTCAGGGTCGTTCAACTGGCAGCTCGTAGTGAGGGGAGGCGAGACGTAGAGAGAGTGACTGTGAGAGAGTGTGAGAGGGGAGAGATGGTGTGAGAGGGTGGGGGGAAGAGTGACTGAGAGAGAGAGAGAGAGAGAGAGCATGAGGTGGGGGGGTGGGGAAGAATAAGAGAGTTAAATGCTTTGAAAAAAATGTGCTTGACTTTTAGAAAAAAACAGTAAGTAGACTGGACATTGTTGGTTGGCGGGATGAAAGTTGGAGGAATGTAAAGTGGTGTGAGGTGGGGTGGGGGCAGAACTCAGCACAGCCTTATATAATCCAGCCCAGACCAGCAAACAACCAAACTGAACCAAACCCAACCCAACCTATAAGCAGGGAAGAACAGCCCAACTCAACCCAACCACGCTGAACCAAACGTCCAGGATGGCACTCCAGTGCAGTGCTGGGGTGGGAGGTTGTGCTGCTTTGTCGGAGGTTGGAAAAGAGAAGGGAGTTTCTTACATTCTATTCTATCTTGATATTTAAATACCAGTATTATTAATTTACATCTACAGCCCCTCACGCAGCGGGAGGACATCACAATGCGCTTCACAGAATACACTGCAGAGTGTAGAGACGGTGTGTTTTGTAGGCCAACGTGGCAGCCAATTTGCTGCACAGTAATGTCCCTGTAAAAAGCCACGAGCGATTTTATCTGTTGGTCAGGCCACTGGACATTCATATCTATATAGATACCCATCTCCTAAACCACCACCCCCCTACACATAAACCTCAGTTCCCCCAAGCCTTGGCTCTCACTAACCTGGCCCTCACACTCCGAGATTAAGGGGAGTAGAGTGTTTCCCTCGAGGGAGACAGAGAAAGAGTTGGTCACTCTATTCCAGGCACAGGGAGATTTCTGTGTGTAGGTGACCTACACATGTGGGACTCAGTTTAGTTTGAAAACCCTTAATCACGGCGATGGATTTCTGCATGGGTCAGACAGACGGCTGGTCAAAAATAAAACCCAGCTCAGTTAGACGGGGCGGGGGAGAGAATTTTATAAACTGAGGTGTGCGGAAATGTCTCAAAATGCTTCACAGGAAAGTATTGCAAAGTCTAGCATCAACGGCAAGTTTCTGCTGTGCAAAGTCCGGTTTACAGACAAAAGAGAGAGAAAGACAACACACAGTGAGACACACACACACACACACATACCTAAGTATATTTTAAGTGAGACACAGACACACACTGAGACAGTGAGAGACACACACGCATATACACTGTGCGTACACTTGCGCTCAGCTTTCCTGAAGCTTTCCTCTTACTATTCCCGGCACCGAGCGAGAACATCAGGCTGGACTGAAAGGGCTCGAATCTACAGCCTCCCGACACAGTAGAGAGAGCTCAATACCTTTTGCTCAGTGAGGTTTCCAACATCCCCCAAGAGATCAGTATTTATTTCATGTAAAAATTAACAGAAAAATAACTCTTTAGGGTACAATAGCCCCATTTTTTTTAAAAAAAAACACACACACACACAACAATATCCAGCTTGAAGTGTCCAAAATTACATTTTACAAAAGCATCTCAGAATTTTAAATAAAAATTGGTTGCACTTTTTTTTTAAGCGTTGGTACCATACGATGACAGGAATGTGCTGTAAACTCATTCCAGTTATTTGGGTAATTCATTGTGAAATACACATTGTGAAGCTTTGACCTCCTTGCCGCCCCATCCCCCCCCCCCTCTTCCCCCATTTCTCTCCCCCCTCCCCCTAACCCTCCCCCCCCACCCAACTTTATCCCCCCACAACTTTTCCACCTCCCCCCCCCCCCTCCCCATCCTCCACACTCCCGGGTGCTTCTCAGATGTGTTTAGCCCAGTGTTTGTATCCGACACAATGCCTACGCATTGCGTCAGGAGGACGTCTCAAAGCGCTTCGCGGGGAATGTGCTGTAAAGAGTGTAGTGACTGTGTTTGTAGGTGAAAACCGAACATTGTAACATTTGTCAATTGCACATCTCCTGTTAAGAAATACCACAAATCGGAAACCCGACTTAAAAAGTGCCCCACGCCTGCATTTCGGTCGTCGGCTCTCAAATCAGGCACGAACCGGTCACGTGGTCACTGCAGTAGGTCTGAGGCAAAACACAGCAGACTGTGCCGACACACAGCACGGCTAAGCCGGGCACCACCGAAACACGGCTCAGGCACAATCAAAGGCTCGATCATCGCACTATTGCTTTAGGCCAGGGTGGTCCAACATTTTGAGCAATATTTTATCCTTTGCTGGCCAGCACTGTTGCCGGTTGGTGGTGGGGGGGGGGGCGCGCGGGAGACCTAAGCCCCTGGTGACCGCCTGCGGACAACGAACTTGGAAACGGTTCGTGTGATGAAATCATCCCCGGCCCGCTTGTGACCAGTTGGATCACCCTGCTTTAGGCTAACACTCTGCACAGTCACTCTCGTAGCTTTAGCTAATAGGACGGAAGAGCAGGGCCCAAAGTCGTCTTAAACAACCTCCGACTTTCCCTGAATATTTTAAAATGGTCCTTAAATAATTGTCTTCCCCTCTCTCGTTTGGTTTCGGTTGGCATCTGTGATTGTTCTTCCATTCCTCTCCCAGTGACCGTTCAGAAGGCACGTAGGACTGGACCCTTTCCTTTCCGTCTGTTCTTCGCTCTCCGCCTGTTCTTTGCTCTCCACCTGTTCCTTTCTCTCCGTCTGTCTCGGTTTCTGTGGCAGCACCAGAACCAGGACACCAGTGAGGATGTGAAAACAGAAGTACCAAGACCTGAGAAGGGTGGAGATAATGAGATGACATCCAGCGAGTGAGTGTTACTCCATAGTGCGCAATCGGGCAACTAACTGCCGGAGTTAAACCAGCTAAACCCGAGCTACTGGGGCTTTGGCTTGCAGAGTTAACAACAACAACAAATTACGCTTGAATAGCATCAGGAGGACGTTCCCATGGCGCTGGACAGTCAGGGATCCAAACAGGAGCTGAATGGGAAGAATCCCTGCGCCCAGTGACTGGAGTTACCAAATCGGACATTTTACATAGCGGTGACGAGCTGAGGGATGTCTTACCTGTAGAACGCGAGCGAAGAATCAGCGAAGAGGAGCACGAAGGGGGCCACGGTGTAGCTGACCATCAGCTGGGTGGTCGCCCAGGTAACCATGTCGTACAGACACCTCCTCCTCCGCGACACCAGGAAGTGAGGCCTCAGGTTCTTCCTGACCTGGAGGGGAAAACACAGATGGAATTCACACACACACACACACACAAACACGGAGATCTCACAAAACGCAGGCACCAGCTTCCGAACTCCCACCACCACCCCCACCCCGACCTCTCCTGAACCACCTATTCCAACGGGGTTGGGGGATGAGGGATGGACGGAGGTCTGAAATTCCAACTAGTCTTAGCCTTCAGAGAGCATTCTGCCTTAAAATAAAATGAACTAAAGATGGCGCAGAAGGGCAGAAGCTTCTTGACCCTACATGTGGCGCCTTAGCACGCCCTTGCGGCGTCTCGAAACCGGTTACATTTGGAAGCCGGTTTCTCTGAGAACCGCAGAAAATGGCTCCCAAATTAAGGTCCGGATTTAAGATATTTTCCGCAATTCTGGAGTTTTAAGGGTGGGTGGGGGAGGGGGTGGGGGGGTGGGGGGTGGATGGCGGGGGCGAGGGAGCCTGAAATTGGTCGGAATTAAAGGGAAAGGCTTGTAACTTACCGAGCGGCTAGCCAGTGTCATGAAGGAGCCGGTGATGAAGGTGAGGTAATAGCCGGGATATACACCGTGCCACACCGCAGACAGAAAGAAGGTGGTGATGGTGGGGCTGAAGGAACAGCGGTCGTAGCAGATCCTGAGAGAGAGCAAACAGCTCATGATCACTGGTTAGCGGCGCTCAGGGTGAGCTCACCTCATCGCTGTGACCCCACCCCCCCTCTGCCCCTTTAATAAAACATGGAAAGTCCAAGATGGATCCAATAACATAATTTGCATCCCTGCTCTCTGCAATTCCGTCCAGGAGTCGTTCCAAACTCTCTCCCTCCGTCCCTCAACTCGTTCAAAGGTCTGCCTCAAGACCTTCCTCTTCAACCACCACTTCGGTCACCGTTCCCCGTTCCCCCACACCCCCCCCTCCCCCCCACCACCACCCCTCGGCTCTCACCCCCAACACGGACACTCACTCTTTGAGCCACGCAGCCGTCTGAATGTTCCAGTTGTCGATAAACTGCTTCATGCTGGTCGCGAACTGAAAAAACACAAACGAGGGCCAAGTCTTAAACTTCGGACCTTTGAGGAGAAATTCTACCAGGCACTGCCACAGTTTCTCACAGATCACTCCAGCAGTTCTCCCAACACACACTCCGGGGTCACCAAGCGTTGTCTCTTGTCATGCGACCCCTAATGCTTTCAGGGATTAGGTAAGCAGGATGTTTCCCTCCTTCAGAGCGAGAGAGCACGCGCATTCCATTCCAACAATCCATCTCTGGGATTTCCATGGCTAGATGGGATGCGTGGAATTCTCAGCTTGGTTGGGATACTCCGCATGTGTCGACTGACCCCAAAAAAAACTTACGGAGAAAACGGTTCACCGGGTTTAAAGCTACACGTTAGGGAACAGGTGGTGGGAGCCCAGCTCATTCCAGGAGGGGAGATGGGACAGGACCCGTAAACAATGCAGGATCCAACTCCCTTCATTTCCCCACCCACCCCACCCCCACCCAACAGTCGTCACACGTCCTGCTCCGCATAGTGCCAGTGAACGGAGAGAGAACAGAGTCTCACTTTTTCCTTACCTCAATCTTCATGATGTTCAGGTTGCAAGTCAGATCCCACCGAGCTCTTCCGTTCTCATCGTATCCACTGAACCCAAACCCTGCAGCGTTGTTGATGGCATCAGCTGTCAGAGCACAACCATCGAGTGTCAGTGTGGTAATCCTGGCTCGTTCAGCACAGGCGAGAGGACAGCGAGCAGGTCAAGGCCCATCCAGACCCACAACAACAATAATAACAATCCTTGTGTTTCATATAGCTCCTTATCATGTCGTTGGACCATCTCAAAGTAAAGAGCTTCACAGAATACACTGTAAAGTGAATTGACTGTACGTTTTGTGGGCGAAATGCAGCAGCCAATTACGCACAGCAGCGTCTCACACACAGTCATGGATTGAAGTGACCAATTTTTTTTTGAAGCAATTATTACCACCGGAAAAACGATCCGCCAATCGACTAACGACCGGGTTCCTACTTACTGCTGGTAAACAGAGGTGTGTGGAGTAAGGAGACTTGCCCAATGTTTCACCCTGCTCGGGAATCGAACCCAGGTCTCTCGCTTGCGCGGCGAGTGTTCTAACCACTGAGCTAGAGGACTCCACAAAGCATCAACCACCCTGAGTCTTACCCATGGTCCAGACAAAGTAGTACTTGGGTCTGCAGGCCAGGAGGGAGGCATAGAGATAGAAGCAGCGTCTGGGAAATGAAGCCGTGCGGACAAATTCCTCATCTGTGTTGTAGGCGAGGGGAAAGGTCTTCAAAAGCGTAAGGTGCATCAAGAGGGACACACTGCTAGACAGCACCTTACGCCCAACTGCACTCTGCGGAGAGAGAGAGAGAGGGAGAATGAGATAATAATCCTCTCAGAACATCTCAAAGCAGTTCACAGGAAACTGCTGTCAAGTGTAGTGACTGTGAACGCGGCAGCCAATTTGCGCATAGCAAGGTCCTGAAGTCGCAAACGCCCATGATGCGAATAGACGATTGAGCTGGACACTCCTTACTCCCTTTCTCTCTTCCAATAGGATTTTTTAACCACGGGCTGTGCACCTGTCCCTAGCACAAGCCGATGACAACCTGTGAGAGGCAGAAGGGTGTAGCTACTGGTGCAACCTCTCCCGAAAAGGTTGACGTCTTCAGGCAGCACTGCAGGATCACAGGCCAGAATGAACTCGCCTTCGAAGGTCCCAGTGTGAAGCCAAGCCCTGGAGCTGTGTCACTTGGGGCAGGAACTCTATCTGGGTTATCAATGGCTGACTACAGAGAGCCATGGAAAGAATGCAACTAATTATTTCACCGTTGTCTTTTAGATCTTTCTCTCTGTGTTTCTCTCCCCCCCCCCTCACACTTCCCCAAAGTGTTAAGGGTCCGATGACTCTGGGAGCAAGACGGCTGTGCAGATGCCTTTAAATCAGTACATTTCAAGGACACATCCACTAGAGGGCAATCCTCGCATTGAGTTGCATTACAGAGCCACCAGGTCTACAATCCGATAATAGTAATAATAATAATAATCCTTGCATTTGACATAGCATCTTATCACGTCGTCGAGACGTCTCAAAGCGCTTCACGGAATATGCTGTAAAATACTGTGTATTTTGTGGGCCAAACGCGGCAGCCAATGAATGGCTCACAGGAGTGTCCCATAAACAGTCGTGGATTGAGTGACCAAATTTATTATTTATTTATTTATTTATTTGGATACAGGCAACGTGTGCATTAAAGGTCAGCAGTGAAAGTAGCCAATGGCAAAATTAAAACCTAGCGATTTTGAGCCATTCGGGATCTGAAGAACCTTGATTATCGCAGCAAATGTTTAAAAATCTCATTTTAGACCCCAAAAATCAGTTCCTTCGTTAAAACAAATTCTGCGATTTGCCAAATGCGCCACAGCATTTGAAGAGTCACATACATTTCTGGTGGTAGCCTGTAGCTTGCAAACTCCATTTATTATAGTAATAATAATAATAATTTTTGCATTTGGTAAAATCTTATCATAATAATAATAATAATAATCCTTGCATTTGATATAGCGCTTTTCACGTCGGACATCCCAAAGCGCCTCACAGAACACACTGTAAAGTGAATTGACTGTGTATTTGTGGGCAAACGCGGCAGCCAATTGCGCACAGCAATGTCCCACAAACAGTCGTAGATTGAAAATGACCAATTTATTATTGTTTTTTGGTTTTGGAGGGATTATTATTAGGCTCTGTGTGGAGTAAGGAAACTTGCCCAAGGTTTCGCCCTCTGCCTGGAATTGAACTCAGGTCTCTCGCTTGCAAAGCGAGTGCTCTAACCACTGAGCTACAGGACTCTGATGGTTAGAAGGACACCTAGAAGCGCTTCACGGGAATCACTTTGAAATGGAGTGACTGTGTATTTGTGGGCAAAAACAAAGGTCAAAGAGGGGGTTAAAAAAAAGTCAGTTAACAACCTTACCAGAGGTGAGGGGTCGTGCTTCTGGCAATTATCGCTGTTGATCCCCGGGGGACAAACCGGTTTCACCTCGACTTTGCTGCCCTCGATGAAGTCGATGTAATGGTTGAAGGACACGGCAGGTCCTGCCAGGATCCCCATAAAGTTCAGGTTGTAACTCAGATACTCCAGGAGGCTCGGCACTCGCCTGAGAGAGTCCGAAACATTCCTCATCAATCAGAACACAGCGCCTTCTCAGGAGACGGGGGGGGGGGGGGGGGGGGGGGGGGGGGATTTCTAGCAGTTATAGGAACCGGTTAAGATATGCCATCTTCCAGGGGTGGGGTGGGTGGGTGGGGAGAGAAAGGCACTTGGCAAGTGTCAATAATAATACTTTCATTTGATGCAGCACGTCATCGAGATGTCTCGAAAGGCTTCGCAGGATTTTACTGTCACTGTGTGTTTTGTAAGCAAAAGTACGAGGTGTAACGTAGTGGGCTAACAATGCAGTCAAACCAGCCAATAATTATCAACTGGCTGCAGGTGTGACCATCCCACCTTCCTCCCCCACCCTTTCCTCCCCCCNAACTTGTTTGCCCACAATTTTTGCCAATTGCATGTTGCATTTCCATCCCCCAAGCTGTGACTTTAGTGATAATGAAACGAGGATGAGCATCAGCTATTCACTACAGGCTAACCGCTCGCAATTTCTTTACCCGCTCCTTACCCACCTCACTGCCAATCGTTTCTGGGATGGACTCAGTTGAACGTCATCGCGAGCCAGACCTGAATCAAATGAAAGTTGAAAAGGTTTTGAAAAGGTCAGGAGATTTGGACACTACTTGATATATTTTAATATAAATTAAATATTTTAATACCTATAACACACACATATATATAAAGGATCTGTATTTTATATTTTAATATTATTTTAAAATTATATTTTTATAATGGATTTTAAATGAAATATTATATATACATATATTTGTCTACAGTAAGGAGTCAGTTAAGATCAACCTGGGGTTTGGATACCCTATAGTAATGATGAATAGCTCCATGAATACTAGCAGAAAATCACTGAAGGGATTTAATGGACCCTTTGCCCCAAAAGAATAGGGATGAACAAACTTCGTCACCTCGGCTCAGTTGGTTATGTTTTACCTCTGGACCAGAAGGTTGTGGGTTCAAAAACAATATCAATTCTTTGAGCTCACAGTCCGGGCTGACACTCCAGTGCAGTACTGGGGTTGGGGGAAGTGGGAGGGAGTCTACATTATCAGCAGTGCTAGCCTTCGGATGAGAGATTAAGCCATCATCTGCCTGTTCAGATGAACTTTAAGGATCCCATGAGATATCTTACCATCATGAATTTCGAAGGCCAGTTTTGTTACTTTCTGTGTGATCACCATCAATGGGCTATAATGAAAGGAGAACACATTGTCACGGAGTGGGGAAGAGGAGGGGGACAATAATCTCAGATCAAGATTCCTCCCATCATCTGATTATCAGGAAGTCCATGAAAAAGACAAAATGCAGGTCCTCACGATTTTCGATTAATCGCTTTGTTGGATAATTTTCCTTTAAAAATATTTAGTTCTGCTGATAAAAATGCTTTGAGACAATTGGATCTGGTAATGGGAGCGAAGCTGAAACACACACATCCATTCAGAAGAGCTCTTCACTTAATGACTCAATCTCCCTCACTGTTTTAAAGATTTAACAAAGCCAATACCAGGGCGTTGTCAAAAGAATTACTCAATGTCAAAGGAATGATATCCGAATGCCAAACACATGGGGGATGTGATCAATTATTAAATCAAAATTCTTTGCAATGGGAAAGGCAGTAGGTGATGATGTCCCTGCTTTACATATGTGAAACTCAGGTCATTGCGTTCGGCAACATTTAAAGCTCATCCTTGTTGGCTAGTTTTACCGTCGTCAACACAAAATCTTCCTCCTCATCTACTCACCCAGAGAAGTCCGCTGAATGTTCTTTTCCGTCCAGGGCGTAGACTCGGATAATCTGGCAGACGGTGAGATATCCCATGGCTGCCACAAAACTGTACCTGGAATGACAGGGTTTTACGTCACCCATCAAAACACAGGGCTCGTCTGCTCGTTTCAGATGGACATTCAAAGAACAACAACTTGCATTTATGCAGCACCCTTCGCATTGGATGAGTGGTGATACTTTCTCATTAAGGAATGCCACTAAGCAATTTCACAAATTAAACCCGGCTGGTGCAAAGCTGGTTCAGGAAAATGTCTTCCAAGTCTCTTCTCCTCTCCCTCCCCCACCCCAGCCCCACCCAGAATTATACATCCATCAAAAATGACAACACAGATAGAGGCTTTTCTATCCACCCGTTGTGCTGGTTCTCGCTCCCCCACTGGAGCTCTCTACTCTTATCTATATTATCTCCCACCCATTGCTTACATCATTGCCTAATGATATGGCTGTATGCTTTGAGTCACCGTTTACAAAGGTTGGAGGAGAGACTTGACTGTTGGTGTTTATGGAGTTATTGCCAGGCGCGTTACGAAATGAATGACACGCTGAAATATTAACACACAGGAAAGGCACAAAGCAATAATAAAGCAATCGCGGTGGTTACAGATACACTGGGAGAGGCAGTACAGGGATTGCACAAGGGAGAGGAATGCAATGTGAAGTTCAAGGACAGAGTCTACTTGTGATTTTTAATATCTTCCATATAACTTTTATGCGGGATAATAATCCCTGCATATGATACAGTCCTTCACGTCAGGAGGATGCCTCAAAGAGCTTATTGTAAAGTGTGGTAACCCACCCTCCCAATCCAGCATTGAGCTGTTTTTTTTATTTTAAAAAACAAGTCCAATGTCCTGACATCATTCATCCTTCTTGGCAACCCTATTCCAGTCGTCCATTACCCTCTGGGCAAAGAAATACTTCCCGGTGGCTGTCCTGAAGTTGACCTTTGCTCCCCTGACCACACCCCAGCCCCTCGTGTCCTTCCCCCTCGGCGACTCGGAAAGAAAAAAAAACCTCACTCACTTGTGAACACGTTTTACGTCAATCGTGACCAGAACACAGTACGATAGCATCACCTCCAGCAAAAAGTGAACAACAAACCTGCAATGGAGACAGTGTATTACACAACAGCCTCACAACTTGTATTTATGTAGCGCCCTTCAGACAGGATAGTGTCTCAGAGCACATAAACTAGAAGCGTCATTTATTAAACTAGAATGATCGGTTAATAAACTAGAGTTATTGGTTTTGACTCACCATCTAGAACACTGAGCTGTCTTAAAGCGCTCAACAGGAACTTATTGTCAAGGGAGAGCAGAACCAAAGCCTTTTAATGTTTTTATATACAGTAACCTCCTGATAATTCATCGCTCATGGGGGGAAAAAAAGGTTCAGTGACGAGTTATCAGAAGTGTCGAGTTAGACATAAGAGAATAATTGTTCAGTGCAGCTGGGACGTTGACAACTTGACGTCTTAGATGGCAGTGACAAGTGAAGCCAGGGTTGAGTTATCAGATGTTTACGGAACATTTCCACAAGCCTGTAACCTGGAAAGTGCAACCAAACATCAAGTCTTGGCAGCTGGTGGAGGGTTAGATCGTTTGAGAGTCAATGGGACGAATGGCCTCCTTCTGGGCTGTGTGGAGTCCCATAGCCAAGTGGTTAGCACACTCGCTTCACAAGCGAGAGGAAAATAAGACGTACCTTCCAAAGCAGAAGAAGGCAAAGTATAGACCCAAGAGTGTGGCCACTGTATGCCTGACGATGGGGCTGGTTTTGCTGGGGTGCAGGTACTTGCGAAATAGGAAAGCTGTCAATAACCCAAAGAGCTGACACACCACAAAATTCACCTGCGAAAACATGAATACATAATTATCATTTTTGTAATTAATAAAAATGAGAAACCTTCCTTTCGACGTTACAGCCTTGCATCTCAAAGCTCTTGGCTGTGAAGTGTCCTGACGGTGCGTTCTAAAATAAAATTGATGACTTGATGACATATCTATATATGTGTAAAACTTTTCACCAACACCGAATAATGCAGAGAGCGTTCAGCTATTACAGGAGATGCGTTTCATCGCATTCCTGAAAATTTTTCTACCGTGTCTGGAGCACTTGAAAGTGGTGGAGCTCGACCAAAAGAGGGAAGTTGCGAAGCGCTTTATAAAAAGATACATGACTCAAGCAAAAGAGGGGAAGCTAACTGCCTTACATCCAACGAAAGATCAGCTGCCAATGATTTGGACTTTGCGGGTAAATTTTGGACGAGGAGAGAATATAAACCGGGATAACTGACTTTACCTTCATTGTAAGAAGGTATAAGTCTATTAAAGTCTAACATCACGGATTAAGTGACCACATTGTTTCTGGGGGGGATTATTATCCTCCGATCAACTAACAACTGGGTTCCTACTGACCGCTCGGTAAATAAAGGTGTGTAGCCTAAGATTTCACCCCACCCAGGAATCTGACCTGGGTCCCCTCGCTTGTGAGGCGAGTGCGCTAACCATTACACTACAGGACTCCTCGTTAGCTAATCCCGTCCTCCCAACGCTTGAGTTTCCAGGAATGTTGGTGAGATCCTCTTGCTTATCATAATGGGGGTGGGGAGAAGGGGTGATAAGTGCATAAGGAATCAAAGACAGTTCAAACAACAACTAATTACATTCTATAGTGCCTCTCACATCAGGAGAACTCCCAAGACGCTGAAAATACTGGAAAAGCCAAGCAAGTCACCCATTCTAACCATTCCCAGATGATGTCCAAACATATGCCTTCCAGCATGGTTATTATTAATTAAATTAGCTGATTTAACAATTATATTATTCTGTCGTAGTAGTGAGTGAATGATCAGAAGTATCTCAGTTACAGTCCTCCCTCCCACCGACATCAAAGCGTATTGTTGTGCACCACTTCCCACCCCGTCCCCAGTGACAGGAAAAAAACGAAACGTCAAATACTGACAGATACCAGCAGACAGAGAATGCTGGCAATACACAATGATTGAGAGGGGAGAGAGTGCCGTCCATTGCACTCGCAACTTCTCTCCCCTAATCTCCTTGCTTTGGTGATGTCCATCCTGGTCCGAGGGGATATCAAAGATCCCCGTGACACATTTTGAAAAGAGAAGGGTATTTCTCCCAGTTTCCCAGCGAACAATTCCATCCCCCACTCCTTCCCCTCCTTACCCCACCAAGGTTAAAAATCAACCAACCAGTCACCTACCCCATGCGGTGTTGGCCGGCTACATTGGCTACAAATTCACAGTCACTACACTCAGTGTTTCTTGTGAAGCACTGGGAGATGTTCATGCAGCATCATAAAGATACAAGGTCATTCAGTCAAAAAAAAATCAGCTGACTCTCATCATGCAACCCAGACAGAAAATCCTGGAACTCTGGCTGTTTCCCATTAGCTGTCAAAGTTACCCACAACTCAAGAGAGAAAGAGAGGGAGGGAAGGAGATAGAGAGAGAGAGAATAAGGGAGAAACTGAAATTCTGATCATCCCATCACGAGAACTTGTTCTTCCACATGGGTTTGACTCATAATCTCCCTGACCCATCAAACCCAACCCCTTGTCATTACTGAGAGAGAGAGAGAGAGGAACGTACAACCTCATTCCACATCATTTCAATAAAATAAGATCATTTAAACCACTACAATTTTCCTTAATTCTCCAGTAACTGCGGAGGGTTAAATGATAAGTCGCCAAATGAATCTCCTAAATTGACCGTAACTTTTAAGACACAGTGCAACTACGTCAACTAATTACGTTCAGTTAAAAACTCCGCTACGTGATTTATTTAAAACAAAACAAAGTGCATAACTCAGCACTTCAGTCGATTTCAAATCACAGGCAGACAGACTCACACACCCTCTCCCTGTCTTTCTCTCTCTTTCTCTTTTTCTCTCCGATCAATACAGAAATAAATCAAAATACACCGTTTTTTTAAAAAAAAATCGTACAATATCATTTTTTTAAAAACTCGGATCGTGAATGAAAACGCTGTAGTTAGTACCTGCTCTGTGGGGAGATGAAGTTTCTCACTGAGAGGCACAAACTGACCGGTTACGCCTGAACCCATGCTTGGAAGCTGTGTGTAGAGAGGTGACAGGTAACAGCAGCTCACCTGAGACAGACTGACTGACACACACACAGACACAGACAGACACACACACCAACCTAAGCCCATAACCTCAGCAACCTCCTTCTTCTTCCAAAAAAAAATCTCCTCTTCTCACTCCTATTGGCCAGGGCGAGTCATTTTTTCCAGCTCACCAAGGAGTGGCCTGAATAGAAATCCCTTTCAACAAAACAAATCACTTGAAGGGTGTTTCCCAGAAACTTTGTCCAAAAGACGTAAAAGGGAGGGCTGCTGCTGCTCTGCTCTTAAGTTCATTTTAATAACAGTGAGAGTCCTCGGGTTTGATGCAGCGCCTTATCGCGTCGTTGAGACCTCTCAAAGCGCTTCGCAGAATATACTGTTAGGTGGGGTGACTGTGTATTTTTTTGTGGGCGAAACGCGGTAGCCAATTGCGCTCCGCAGCGGTTCCCACAAACAGTCGCTTGTGATCGAATTTTACTTTTTTTTTCTTGGGGGGGGATTATTACTCCTGGAAAGTGATCTGTCAATCAACTAACAAACCCGTTACTACCTAATGGTGCTTACTAAACAGAGGCGCGTGGAGTAAGGAAACGTGCCTATGGTTTTAACCCACCTGGGAATTGAACCCGGGTCCTCGCGCTTGCGAGGCGAGTGCGCTAACCGCAACGCAAGGCGACTCTCGTAGCCCTAAATACACAGTTTCTAGTCAAATTCCCCTGTTCTGATTAATTGTCACCAACCCATGGTGTTTAATGTCCATGCTCCAGGATATCTAAGCTCCTGGCAGTCAGTTTTTGGAGGACGACATCAGTGTTTCCAGTGGAGGAGAGATCCTAAGCTTCACAAAGAAGCCTGGAATGTGCTGATCACAGGACTTCCATTTTAACCTCACCGGACCTTAAACAACATATATTTATCCCATTTAAAGTGCTCCACCCACCAAAAAAAACCCCCACATGAATAAGCATGGCATTTGATTTAGCGTCAACTCAAAGCACCGTGTGGTTTGAGTGTAGTGACTGTTTTTTAGACAAGACGGTAAAAATTACAGCATAGAATAAGGTCATTTGGCCCCATTGAGGTTTATACTGTTTCCTGAAACCCACCAGACCCTCAACCCATCAAAGCTCAAACACGGAGCAAGACCACTGAAGGAGGGATACAGACAGTGTGACCCCAATGGAACCAATTCCCTCCCTCTGCTTCCAATCCCCCCCCCACACACACAACACACAAATCAATCAATCCCCTCAGGAGAGGAAAGGGGAGGAGGAAGTTGACCCAAAGATTCGCAGAGTAGCTGAAAGTTGTTATTATTTAATATTTAGCTAAGGGACAAAAGATTTATGGAATCGGTTAGAGCACTCCCCTCACAAGCAAGAAGACCCGGGTTTGATTCCTGGTCGGGGAGAAACCTTTTCTTACTCCACACGCCTCTGTTTACCTAGCAGTAAGTAGTTAGCCGATCGGCGGATCGCTTTCCGGGGGTAATAAACCCTTCGAAAAATGAACGATAATAATAATTTGGTCACTAACTCCACGACTGTTTGTGGGACAGTTGCTCTACACAATCGGCTGCCACATTCCTGCCACAGAAGTACACAGACGATTCATTTAACAGTATATCCCGCGAAGTGCTTTGGGACGTCTCGACGACATGATAGGGCACTATATCGAATGCAAGGATCATTATCATTATAAAAAANGTTTTATTGCTATAAGTCATCTTGTTGTTATCGTGCGAGAGACCCTGTGTGTGTGTGTGTGTTACATATTGTTGGCCACAAGATGTCGATAGAGGTCCTTGTTCTGATTGCCGGCAGTAATGGGTTCCCCGCCTGACTGACACCTGAGGCCCAGCGATTCCCACGCTTTAAACTCAAATGATTGAAATTGAACTAGTTCTTAGATCCCCTCTTAATCCGGAAGCCGGTCCGCCCGGTGTCTCTTAAAGAGAGCTTTTCCGGATTGAGGCGGGACTTAGGAACTTTGCCGAACCGCTGCGCGATCCAACAGTTACCGGCAGTCGTGTGGGACGCAGTTGAAGCATTTCAGGCCCTGACCTGACTTCCTTACAGAACCATAGCTCTGACTGAACCCAGGCTCGCAGGATGGGGAGTCCCTCCTTGAGGCATCCCAGCCCCCCACATCTGCCTGGATGACGCCTTCACTTGATCCACCTCTCCCCGCATAGTCATAGTCACTTTCCAACCAAATCCTGTGAAGCACTTTGAGCCGTGCTCCTGATGCGAAAGGTGCCGCACTGAACTGAGCAAGGATGATGGCTATTATTATCATGAACAGCAATAATAATAAATCGTTGAGCACTTTTATTTCCTGGCTTCACTAAAATGCACAAAGAAATGAGCAAATGTTTGCAGATTTCCTACGAAGCGTAGAGAGAGAGAGAGAGGAGAGAGAGAGGTGAAGGACCTTGAATGAAGATTTCGGTTGAATTCGCCTCTTCCCCCACTCATTTTTGCCCCTTTTCCTGAGGGGGAACGTGAGTGTGGGGGGAGGTGAGGGGTTGTAAATGGGTCTGAGAAGGATTAAAGAAAGAAACTACTGTGAGACGGAGAATAGATTTTGACTTAAGTCTGGATGCGGAGAGACTGGCATTAAAGTCGCCATAAAGTTAGGAAAATTGGAGATTTATTAGTGAGCTGCCTGACCGGGTCTCCGACCCTCTCTCTCCCCCACTTCCCTCTCTCTTACTCCCTCCCTCTCCCGACCCCCCCCTCCCTTCCCCCTTTCCCTCTCCCTTCCCCCTTGCTCTCCCTCCCCCCCACCCCACCGCCCCCCACACACACACACACAACAGGACAGTGTGCTGCTGCCGCATGGCTGAAAGTCAAAGGCTTGTTTAAACATCTCTCAGGTTATTAACTGAAACGCTTTCAGAGTCCTGAGGCCTAATGCTCCCCCCCCCCACCCCCTCCCCAGCCCCCACCCCCTTCTTTCTCTCTCCCGCCTGTAAACCCTTCTATTGCTCTTGGTCTTTGTGTGCTGAACCTATCATTTCCACAGTGTCTGGCGCTGGAGTTGGGAGTTTATCGCCAGACGTCCGAGAAAATACGGCAGATTCCCAGTGTGTGCAGTTGTCAGAGTTGGCGGCCGTTTGCTGGTTTCTTGAATGTACAGAAAGAGTCACTCATCTGAGAAACACCAGCAAAATAACAGCGGGTTATACATGGCTCTCTCGCTCTTCCCCAGACACATTGAAGCAAAACACAGATCCCTTTCTCCCACGTGTTCAGTCATTGGGAAAATTACGAGGCACCAACACCCTCACGTTTGCTGAGCTTTTTTTTTAATAACAATAAGCCTTGCGTTTGATATCGCGCCTCATCACATCGTCCAGATGTCTCAAAGCGCTTCACAGGATACAATGTAAAGTGCAGTGACTGTATCTTGTGGGTGAAACATGGCAGCCAGCATGCGCACAGCAAGAACCCACAAACAGCCATGGAGTGCGTGGCCATTTTTATTTTATTTGGAGGATGTGTTGGTCAGGACATCGGGAGAGAGAAATTCCCTCGAAACCTCCCGCTGGACAGGCAGATCGGACCTCGATGTAACGTCTCATCTGAAGGCCGGCACCTCTTGACAGCGCAGTGCACTACCCGCCCTGCCTCGGAGTGTCATCTTAGATTACGTCCCGACGTGGAGCTTGAACCCCCAACCTTCCAACTCAGAGGCGAGAGCACCGCCAATGAGCGAAGCTGATACCAACGCTTGGCAGATGCCGAGACGGAATTGGTTGTCAGTGTGGTGTCAGTGCCACCGTGGGTTTCTAACATCATCCTATATAGGACCCTTCGCATAAGGTGGAGGGGGGGGTGGGGTGGGGGTGGGGGGGGGGGGGTCCCATAGCACTGAAACCTTCATAATAATAATCCTTGCATTTGACGCAACATCGTGTATCACGTCTCAGAGCGCTTCACAGAACGTGCCGCCGCTGTCGAGCGCGCGACATAAATGCAAGTCGTCGCTGACGCTGTCGGACCCCAAAGGGTATTTTGTGGGCGGAACGCGGACCGAGTGACCGAAGAGCGAGCGAGCGAGAAGGAAGGAAGGACAGAGAGAGAGAGAGAGAGACAGAGAGAGAGAGAGAGAGAGAGAGAGTGAGGGTGGGAAGAAGGAGAAGAAAAAAAAGAGAGATTTTGTATTAAAATAAAAAAAAACGCGCGCGCGTGTGTGAGTGTGTGTGAGTGTGAATGAGTGAGTGTCTACGTGTTAAAGAGTTGTTGAGCCTTTAAGGGGCCTTTCCCTTTAAGGAGAGCCGCGGGGGGGGGGGGGAGGAGGAGGAGGTGGGCGGGGAGAGAGAGGAGGGGGGGGGGCGGGGCGACACCTGATTGGTCGGGGGGAGGTCCGGGCGCGCATCAACCGGGGCGGCGGCGGGGAGCCCCGCGATTGGTCCGCCGCCGCGTATGTTGCGACCGGACGGCCAATGGGAGTCGGGGATTCCGAGCAGATGGCGGGAAATATGAATTTGGCGGCAGCGGCTTTGGCGCCACTGAGAGAGAGAGAGAGAGGAGAGAGAGAAGAGAAGAGGAGAGAATCCGCTTCATTCACAGCCACACAGCGGCTCGGGCTTCGGAGGCGTCTCTGAGGCCATCTCTCCGCCCCTCCCGGGGGCCCGGCCCGCACCATCCGTTGCATCCCGCCTCGCCCCCGCCCCCGGCACCGGCGGGACCCCCCGGAGCCGACGGCGGGTACCCCCCGCGCCCGCGCCGCCCCGACATTTGGTCCCCGTTCCCCCGATTTCCCGCTCCAATCCCGGTTTGAAATTGACCCTATTTTTTTTCCCCCCTTTTCTCCTCTCTCTCTCTCTCTCTCACACACACACACTCACTCTTTCTTTCTCTCTCTCTCTCTCCTTTCCTTCCTCTTTTTTTCTCTCCCCCTCTCTCTCTCTCACACACTCCCTCCCTCCCCCCCCTCTCTCTCTCGTTTCTTTTTTTCCCCCCTCTCTCTCTCCCCCTCCTCTTCTCCTGTTTTTATCTCTTTATTTTCTCTCTCTCCCTCTCTCTCTCTCTCTCTCTCTCCCCCCCCACTCCCTCCTCCCGCGCGTGTGAC